CCTTCACAGAAGTCACATTCATGGAAAATAAGTCAAGACTAAAACCAAATGGGTGAAAAAGCAAAACCAAGTTGCCAGATTAACTCCAAAATTTCTTGAGTTTCCGAAATTTCCCAAGCTTTGCTATAGAAAACTGTCAACTTTTCTTAGATCCACTGTCAAAACCTGACACTTTGGTGCTGGCGTTCTGGCACAGTGGGTTAAAGCCCCGGCCTGCAGTGCAAGCATCCCATATGGACACCGGTTTGAGTCCCAGCTGCTCCACTTCTAATCCAGCTCCTTGCTGATTTGCCTGGGAAAGCAGGAGGATGGCCCAAGTCCTTGGCCCCCATACACACATGGGAGACCCAAAGGAAGCTCTTGGCTCCGGATTGGCTCAGCTCCTGCTGTCGTGGCCATTTGGGGAGTGAACCAGCAGATGGAAGACCTCTCTCTCTGTCTCTACCTCTTTCTGTAACTCTTACCTTTCAAATAAATAAAATAAATCTTAAAAAAAAAAAAAAGTCATTTTGTGAATGGGAAAGCAATCCCATGAGTTATCAGGCCATCTCTTCCAACTCTCTCACAACGATCTCTCTGACTCCTCACAGTGTCAGCAAAGTCACTGTCCCTGTCTTCTTTGTGATGAGTAAGAAAGCCAGTGAGGACATTTTCAATCTCCCCTCTTCACCTACTCCCCAAACCTCACTTTTTCCTTTTGGTTCTAAACATTTTAATTTCATCAAAAGCTAAATGGCAGTGCTTTTTCACTACCATGTCCTTATTAAGTCATTCACATCTGACAACTCATGGCAGGAACAGGGCATCTGGTTGAGTCTGATCTTCAGCATCCACATACCTGTAACCATTAGGAAAGGCAAAAGAGAAGTGACCCCTGCTCAGGGCAACTAGCCCTGCAAGGGCTTGGCCAAATGGACCCACAGACCTGTTATAGGCACTTGGAGGAACCAGATAGACAAAACTGCAGCTCAGGGAATTGGGACCACGTGCTGAGTGAAGGCTGCTGGCCATGGTCAACCACACAAAAGCCTTCAAGTCAGTGGTATTACCCATCTACAGATGGGGATACTAATCAAACACGCTAACCGACTGTGCAAGATCACAAAGCTAGCAAATGGCAGCCAGGCGTCCTGGCCAAGTCCATCTGATCCCTGCCCATGCTTTGTCCAAGGTAACACAATGCAGATGCTCTTATACAGATGACCACAAACCCCATTTAGTTGGGTAACAGGTGGTTAGAAATGGAATACAAAACTAAGCAACGTAAAAAAGAAAAGAAAATTATATTTGTCTACTTTTTTTTACTTTCATGCAAAGAACAACCACCTTTCTTCAGGGGATAGGAGGAAAATTGGCTGATAAGCAGAATCAGGACTTTGCCGGGGTAATGGGAACCAACTGCACCTATGAAGTTGGGGGGTTACTGGATGTACAGAGGTGGCAAGATTGATCGAACTGGGCATTTAAATTTATAAACTGAAAAAAAAGAAGCTAATGCATAGGTATGTACAGATATGTATCCATCTCTATTTTAATAGAGATCAGTGTTAATTATTTGTGGTGTAAACCTAATTAAAAGAATTATTTGGAGTCCCAATCCTAACTAAAATCAGTTCTTTAGTCAGGGCAGGATGGAGAGTTTAGGTTCAAACTCCTCAAATAATAAACTGGAAAACAGTCTTGAAGAATCTTGTGGTCAAATTCCCTGCCTCTGAACAGCCATCTCACTCCACCCCCACCAAAAAAAAAAAAAAAAAAAGGGTATTATAGCTATTACTAACCAATTTCAGTTTGATCATTCTGAACAAAACTCCAAATTTTAAAAACTGTTTGAGGAATGCTGCTTGTATGGTATGAAGACAATGCTGATAAAAAAACTCAAGGTGAAAAGTGAGTCCATTCCCTTCCCACGATGCAACTTGTTTCCTAACAAGTGAGTGAGCTGTGTGTCAAACCAAATAAACACTGTGCCTACCCATTTCTGCCTCATTAATTACCCCATTCTTGTTACAACAGCACAGGCTTTCTAGCAAAAGTCTGAGAGAAACAAAATTCAATAAGTAGTGTTGAAGTCATTATTCTACTGGTCATCAAATTTGCTACTTATAGCTATTTAAAAAAATCCAATAAAAATATCACAATAATTTCTCCAAATATCAGGTATCTCAGAAGCTTATCTTCCTTAAACACCAGTAGTCTATGTCAGTTGCAGGCAAGTGCCAAGGCAGAAAAGCATTGAAGTGCAGTATTTTCTGTCAGAAGAACTAAGATTTCTACATTCACTGAAGGATGGGAGAAAGCAGAACCTTTCTCTTCCTCCTCCAAGAGCACCCACAGGCCTAGGGCACAGGTAGAGCTTACCTAGATGCTTGGTGCCCTTGAGAGGATTGAAGGTTTTGCTAAAGAGAAATATCTTTAGCCCTGTCAAGCAAGCAATAAGCCCCTTGATTGTACCTTAAAGGGAATGAGAATGTTTCGGCTCATTTGCATTTTAAAGGGTACTCTTTCATGATCTTTCACACTTGTAATAGATGTCTAAACCGTTAAATTACTATTTCTTTTCTTAGCCTGAAAGTCAATGCAGACTAAGAGCATGGCCTCTCCCATTGTTCTTCACCCTAAGTCGGTCCCTGAACAATACTGACAGCTGCTATCAAACCAGGCCGCATTTACTCTGCGCGCAGCTGCTGCTTGTAGGAACAGACAGTCTCCCAGTACCTCCTCCCCTCTGGGGAGACAGGTTGACACACTGCATGTTCAATGAAGGGGTGCAAAGGTCCACTGAATTGTCAACCCAATTTTATGCTACTTCAATTTTCCAGGACACACACAACTCCTTTCAAGCAAAAATCAAGCATATGCCATAGCATGCAACTTATGGTGGGGGATAATTATCGATCACCAAAAACTTTCAAAGAACCTGCTGACATAAATTAATATGCTGATCCCAAAATTACAATGTAAAAAAAAAAAAAAAACCACACATGCCAGGACGCTGAAGACATCCAACGGGCCTACGTCCTTTGTCACACCCGATTCACCGATTTGGGTTATTGTTGCTACGCCATCGGTGTGTAATCAGCCTTTAAAATCTCAACAACATTTTTCTGAACTAAACTCATTCAGAAAATCAGTGATTCATCTTCCCTTCTAAAACAACTTGCTTTTTAAAATTTTCCAATTCAGCCTCAAAAGGGTATCAGCAATAAAGGTCTGGTTAATACAATTTTCTTCTCCTTGACATAGTCTAAGTCCAAAGGAGAACAGTCACCAGAGGGTGGACACAGTGCCTTTGACCCTTTAAACATAATTGAGTTTTACTACCAAGAAATTATATGCAAAAATCTAGAGCCCATCAGAAAACAAACATGTTCCACAAAGTTTAACTGGGTACTGGAGAACTGCTTTGCATACGTTTTCCTTTTATCAAAACAGGCTTTTCCACCCTTATTCATCTGGGCTAAAAAAATTCCGTGCTTCAACGACAAGTACAATTCGTTATTAGTCTTCGCTAATCAAACACGTTACACGCGAAAGTACCGGGGAATATTTGATGTGATCGCAGAAATAAAGCAATTCATTACACGAGAAAGGGGTACAGACGACAGCAGACAAATGCAGATGTAATTGTGTTTTTTGTTGAATGTGATTAGTGAGCCCACTAAGTAACAGTCAAAAATGTGACACTGAAGGGGTGGAAAGGCAGAGGCTGGACCTGGGTGGGGGGAGGGGCGGGAGAACTGTTTATGCAGAGCTAAGCTGTCAAGTGTAATAAAGCAGCTTGAATAAAATTTAAGCTGAAAATCCACTGAAGCTCCCCATTTCAGGGAGGAAAAAGCTATTAAAAGGAAATGAAGGTCACCCTCCCAGTTTATTTCACCTAATTGACTGCCAATAGCTTACCACAGGCAACCCAACTGCAGATCGGCAATTGAGAAACTGATGAAAGGAGAGTTTTCAAGCTGAGGCTCATTCTTTAATCCTCCTTGGCTCTTATGTTTTTTCTCCATCTCCAGTTGGGATGTAATTTTAAGCCCTGATGGATTAACTGGTTCCATTGTCTGTGGCCGTCATTGGACTATGGCACTCTTAATCCGTACAGCAGCATGTCTAATTATCATTACAAAGTGTCTGAGGGAACTATAAAGACCAGCAGGGCATCTTCTCACAAGCAATTAACATAAATTGATAAATGAGTGATTTGAATCCGCTCAAGGCACTCACATATGAATAAAATCAGAAAGGACAGTCCCTTGTTGCAGCTACTTCGTTCGTTTAGTCTGGAAGGGGCAGGGCACATGAGAACCGTCCAGAGTCCTGCAGTGGGTGGGGGAATGAACTCGGGCAGGGGAGGGAACACACGGTTCACTGGGTTCATTAATGCACAGCAAATGACTTGTGATTGACAGCCAGTTGCCAGCAAGAAGCACTCACTAAACAGGGGAGAGAGAAACCTGGTGCAAGGCTAGAGAGCACCAGGGCCAGACAATTAACACTTCTTCCCCAGCAAGGGAGCGCTCTTTTCACTGGCGTGCCTCTTAAAAATTCATGAAAGAAGCACAAGAAAGAGAAAGAGCAAACAGTTTTATATAGGTTCGAATACCCTAGAAAGCAAAAGGCAAAAGCAAAGCAAACTACATGAAATGATAGCTTGGAGACCTGCGTTGACCTACTGTGATCGAACGTTCTAACACACAAGCAAGGGAAGTATCTAAAACTCCAAGCTACAGCTTTTACTTGACTAATAGAGCAACAGGGCTTTGTGTGTCACAAGATAAGCTACATATTTTCCCACTTTAAAGTAGATTTATTTTTCTTTCCTTCCTAAAGTGTGCTTCCTGTCATCATCTGCCTTTGCTAAGACCACTTCCCCAAGTCCCTCAGCATGCCTCAAACCCGCTTCCTCCCACCCTTATCAAATAGGTCAACAACAAGCTACACAAAACTATATACATATTAAGTCATCCAATTAATAAGAAATGAAAGCTGGTTATACACACTGTAGGAGGTAGACCTGGTAGGCCACGTACCCCGATGATGGCATTCAACTCTGCCATGGTCACCTGTTTGGCACGTTCGACAGCCTGAGCCACCTGTTGTTGATGCTTTGAAAACAAGAAGAAGAGGTGTTAGCAATAGACAGAAACTCCCCCCGTACATTCTAACAGCAAAAGACAAATGCTGCATGCAAGGCAGGTAAGGGTTTCAATCCATAGTTTCCCAACCACACATACAGGAAAAGAAAAACTGAGAACTATGTTTTCCCTTATTTCTAGAGTCACCATTCAATTTCTGGTGGTAATTTTTGGGTCGGATTGGTAAAATTCCACAAAGGACAGAGAATGGAAACCACAGGCCTGAGTAAATTAAGAGAACAGGACTTGGATGCTCACCCCAAACACAGGAGATGAAGTTTACAGCATCCCTGATCAGCAAATCTCCACCCATCAGGAATTTTTGGAAACTCTGGGAATTCTTCTTACTTTCAGTGTTGGACCTGACCCCCAGGACATGGAATGGAAATTCACCCTGTGTACCTCCCACCTCCACCAAAACATAAAACTGGAGCCAGTTTGCTTTGGAAGGCATGAGGGAGCACTGAGGGAGGGCCCGACAGACAGCTCGACACCAGAAGGGCCTCAGATCTAAACTCATGTCAGACACATGCTGTGCTGGGCGAGGCTGCTCCTCCTATGGCAGGGACGGCAGCTATGAAGCATGGATCAGAGGATCCCAACTAGCACAGACCCAAGTGTCATGACTCCCAGTCCAATAAGCTTGTCACTGCCTCAAGACACATTCATTCTGGATACACTTAAAACATGTGACAGCTTTCCTTAGCTTGGATCCAGAAGGAAGGTAAACTTTCCAAACCAAAACTAAATGGGAAGGGCCTAGAGTCATCTCGCGTGAAGAGTTTAGCCTCTCTAAATACTAAGGTTAAACCCATCTGACTTTGTACTGAAATGAAACAGTAAATATATGTATATGACTCACTTCATTAACGTAATGTGATTACTTGTTTTATCCTTTTGACTATTATCATCCACTCCTTTCACGGACAGCATTAAGTGAACGGACTCGATATGCAAGTATAAATAAAACAGCTGCTACCATGGTCAAGTCAGCCCTGACAGACCCATTTGTAAGTCAGTCAAAGAAAAGCTCTCTACTTAAAAATCTATCAAGGACACCTGAATTGTCGGAAGCTATCAAGTGTAAACTACCCAAAAAAAAAACGATAGCTCTATGTTTGATAGTCATTTTGCAGTTTTCCATAGAAAACAATTAATCTGGGGTTGAGCTATTGTCACCACTTCTACAATGTGCCCTAGGATGTGCTAGAGAGACTGGCAGGGGGTTTACACACTTCAGCTGTAGCAGATGTTCTTCACACTTGTTCCCTGTGATAAAATTAACATCTTAAAACTAGCTAATTTGCAAACAGAGAAGCAACATAATTGCACTTTAACAGCTGAATGGTTTTACTTACTTCCTGAGACAGAAATGGGATGACTTGTGCACAAATCGTATTCAATCTCTTGGCGATTTCAGTCTATAAAGACAAAGCCATACAAATGTTTAGAAAATGTCACAGTCGGTGCAGAAAGGTGAAACGTCATACTCTTTTTAACATTTAAGTCTTCCTCTTCTTCACCGTGGAAGGCATAAAATGGCTTCCCCAGGCTGTTACTAATATGTATCTTCAGATAAATAGTACATATTAACCCAACTTACAAAAGTAAGTAGTATACAACTGCATGCTTTATTGGTCATTTAATAAAGGATAATGAGTAGTTTAACTGCACTGGAAAATCTACGTGGTTTAAAACTACTATCATTGAATCTGGAGACTGCTCAAGCTTCTTAGTGTAAACTTTTCTGACGATGGCATAGTATACCCTGACACATTTACGTAGTTACACGAAGTTTATCCAAACTGACAACAAAAGCCATTGGTGCCACAACGCTGTGCAACAATGCTGTGCAATGGCCCTAGTTTGCAAAAATGCAGTCTGAGCTGAGAGAACTCTTTCCTTCCCCCTTGTTCCAGTGCTTGCACAACTGAAACAGGACTTTAATGTTGGCAGACCTCAAGAAGTCTCAAAAAGTCAAACAGACCAAGACAACATTACTAACAGCAGAACAGGTCTAGAGTGACAGTCGGGTCACAATATCTTGGGTATCTAGAAAATTTCGCCACAGTCAGCAGGAGAAACCTCACGAAGGACCAGAGTTTCAGCTCAGCGGGCAGTGTGTCCTGAGTGCAGCACAGGAAGTTCCTGCTCTGCTCTGCATCCAGGGCAGTCTCTGTCACCACACACTAACTGGCAGGGGAGGGAACACAGGTACTCTGCTTGCACCCTAGGGAAGTAATCCACTTAGACCACTTCCAACACCCTACACAATGCAAAGCACCTCTGCTTCTTCTAACTCTTCAGAACCGGTGCTCTTTAAAAAAAAAAAAAAAAGTCATCTGTAGAGAGACCCAGCACTGACCTTATTTATTTCATCATTTTCTGTCAATGCTCACTAAAAACAGCCTTTATCTATTACTGAATTAGGCAATGAAAAGGATCACGAGAAGAAAACTATAAAGCTCACAGTCCATGCCCTTGAGAAAGAATGGAGTAAGTAAGATAAAGCAGAAACCCTAGGACCTTTATAATCCAGTACAAAAAACAAAAGAGCCGTCTTTTGTCCTCCAAGATGATTCCAGTTAACTTGAGAAGTAAGCTCTTTGGTTTTATGGGGTTGGATTTAGGCCAACTCAACCCTCCCTGACCACAAAGATAGGGTTACAGACCATGCCATGGAAGAAAAGTACTAGAAGAGGAAACGACTGGTGTAGAAAGCAAACCCATGACTTTGCTTTAGCCAGTGGGGCAAACAGACATGCAAAAAGGGTGCAGCTGTACCAGGTGCAGATCTATCAGGCAGAACTGAGTCAGCCCCTCCCAGTTCATCTGACCATGACCACCCACTGAAGCTAACTCAAGGTCACAGCTCTCCTAGAAAGCAGGGGCAGGTTTCACTTTCCTTCCCAACAGGATCCTGCACCACGCACGGGGCTCACATGAAGGGGCAGGGATGCCCTTCAGGGGCTCCTAGACAAGCATTTGGCCCCACCCTTGATAACAATATTCCAATAACACTGGGGAACTTCCCCATGTGCAAAATTCACATGTAAGGTTTCCCGATCTTAAAAACAACCATACACACAGATGGATATAGATGAATACTTCTTAAGAAGTTCGAATTACTCTAAGTCCACGCCCAGTGATAAGCATGAATGCATTCTGGTGACTCCCAGCTTTCACAGGCACAGAAGCCCTGTAATAGTAGGGAGCCTCCACTATAGACACTGCCGTTCTGTAATCTGCTTTCCACTCACTGTCAGCCAATAAATACAGACAGGACTAAGTACATCATAGGCATGTCCCACTATTTAAGCCTAACAGTGTTTAAGCACACCTGACACCAGTGGATATTTATGTTTTATCTATGTGGATACTTATGTTTTATCATATTCATTTATATTTTTCACAGTTATAAACTCTGCGCTAAATAACCTTCCACATAGATCTCTAAAAGAAACTCTAGATGTGAAACCACTGGGTCAAAGTGTATGCATACTGTATTGCATGCTGCTGAACTTCCCAGCTGAGAAACTGTACCAACTCACACACTCCCCGTCCATCAGAGTGCTCGCTCTCCCACTCAGTGTCAATATTGGGTTTCGCTGACCTTTTAAAAATCTTTACCCATCTAATAGATTAGAAAATGACTTCCTTCTTATTTGCATTACTTGGATTCTTCCTGAAGTTAAACATCTTTTCACATATTTATTGGTCCACTCTATTTTTCCTTCCTTCACTTTTCTACTGGTATGGAGTCACTGTCTGTTTATAGTGCAGCTTTACATAGGCAAATGTTAACCCTTTGCCAAGCCAGCACAGCTTGATACCAATCTTTCAACCTTGCTTCATATGGATTTTTTTGTAGTTGCATGGAACCTTAATTTTTAAGTGGTCAAACTAAAGAATTTTCTTCCTATGCTCCTGGCCGCTGGATAAGGAATAGAACACATCACAATTATAAAGTCTAGTCTTGTTTTTTCTTCTAGTGCTGCTATGGCTGTGCCTTTTATAATTACTTGGTATAGCTGGAATTAATTTTGGTTTAAGATTCTGTCTTCTTGAATTAATAATAATTGTTTAATTGTGTGTTATTACACAGAATGGTTTCAAGATAAAATTGAACATGGTCAGAGGAGATTTAAGGCCCAGTCTGGGAGCAAATGTTAGGCCTAATAGTTAAGATGCTGCTTGGGACACCCACAACACATACTGGAGATGCCTAGCTTCAAGCCCCAGTTGCACTTCTAAGTCCAGCTTCTGGGAGGCAGCATGTGATGGTCAACTGGTTGGGTACCTGCCACCCCAAGGCAGACTGGAGACCAGGCTGTTGTAGGCATCAGAAGAGTGAACTACTACATAGGAACACATATGCTTGCACTCTGTTTCTTTCTGCCTTTCAAATGAAAGTTATTAAAACAAAATTTACTTTTAAAAAAGACCCAGTCTGGAGAGCAGTAGAAGATGGCCCAAGTCCTTGGGCCCCTGTACCCACGTGGGAGACCAGGAAGAAGTGCCTGGCGCCTGGCTCCTGGTTTCGGAATTGGCGCAGTTCCGGCCGTTGCAGCCATTTGCAGAGTGAACCAATGGAAGGAAGAACTGTATCTCCCTCTGAATGTCTATAACTCTACCTCTCAAATAAAATAAATAAAATCTTAAAAAAAAAAAAAAGACCCACTCTGGGGGCTGCCACTATGGTACAGTAGGTTAATCCTCTGCCGGTGGTATTGGCATCTCACATAGGCACTGGTTCTAGTCCCGGCTGCTCTTCTCTTTTTTTTCTTAAAATATTTATTTATTTATTTGGAAGGCAGAGTTACAGAGAGGCAGAAGCAGAGACACAGAGAGAGAAGTCTTCCATCTGCTGGTTCACTCCCAGATGGCTGCAACAGCCAGAGCTGAACCAATCCAAAGCCAGGAGCCTCCTTCAGGTCTCCCACGCTGGTGCAGGGGCCCAAGGAGTTGAGCCATGTATTACTGCTTTCCTAAACCACTGCAGAGAGCTGGATCAGGAGTGGACAGCTGGGACTCGAACTGGTGCCATAGCGCTGGCCCCCTGCTCCGCTTCTGATCCAGCTTTCTGCTATTGCCTGGGAAAACAGCAGAAGATGGCCCAAGTTCTTGGGCCCCTGCACCCGCATGAGAGACCTAGAAGAAGTTCCTGGCTCCTGGCTTCGTATCCACCCATCTCCAGCCATTGTGGCCATTTGGGGAGTGAACTGGAGGATGGAAGACCTTTCTCTATGTCTCTCCCTCTCACTGTCTGCAACTCTATAACTCTACCTCTCAAATAAATAAATAAAACTTAAAAAAATAAACATACAAAAAAACAAGTCTGAATGCAATGAACTTGTACTATAAACTTTTAATAATAAAGCTATCGGGGCTGGCACTGTGGTGCAGTGGGTTAACACCCTGGCCTGAAGAGGCAGCATCTCATATGGGTGCCGGTTCGAGACCTGGCTGCTCCACTTCCTGTCCAGTTCTCTGCTATGGCCTGGGAAAGCAGTAGAAGATAGACCAAGTCCTTGGGCCCCTGCATCCACGTGGGAGACCCAGAAGAAGCTCCTGGCTCCTGGCTTTGGATCAGCACAGCTCTGGCCACTGCGGCTATCTGAGGAGTGAACCATCAGATGGAAGACCTCTCTCTCTCTTTCTGCTCTCCTCTCTCTGTGTAACTCTGACTTTCAAATGAATAAATAAATCTTTAAAAAAAATATTAAAGCTATCAGTGCCAGTGCTGTGGCACAGCAGGTTAATGCACCAACCTGAAGCACTGGCATCCCATATGGGCACTGGTTCAAGACCCGGCTGCTCTACTTCCAATCAGCTCTCTGCTATGGCTTGGGAAAGCAGTGGAAGATGGCCCAAGTCTTTGGGCTCCTGCACCTGCATGGGAGACCCGGAGAAAGCTCCTGGCTCCTAGCTTAAGATAGGTGCAGCTCCAGCCGTTGTGGCCAACTGGGGGGTGAACCATCGGATGGAAGACCTCTCTCTCTCTGCCTCTCCTCGCTAACTCTGACTTTCAAATAAATAAATAAATCTTTAAAGAAAATATTAAAGCTATCAAAAACTAAAGTATACATTAAAGCAAAGACACTGTAAGTTGTACTAGTCTAGGTAAGAATGAAACAAAGGAAAGAAAAAGATCAAAGAGATCAAAAACCATGCCACATGCCCCCAAAATTCTAAATAAATGATCTGGAGAAGACACGCTTATAAATAAGCACAACAGGGGAAGCTCTTATCTAAGCTTCTCCTCCCTCTGCCAGGATTAAACACTGTAAATCTCCAACTATCCTGACAAGTGACAACTTGATTTTTAAGCCAAAAGACCTAAAGTCAAGTCTCATCTCTTCTACCTACAAGTTGGTTTACTCTGGGCAAGGAACGGAAATTTTCTGACTGCCCCACCTCT